GTTGGAAGCCGCCACCCATCGCTGCTCTAAAGCTCTCTCCTCCCCGCTGTGAGTCGGCTGCATGCTGCGGTCTGTGTCCCCTTCGATCCCCGCTGCTCTCCCCCGCCTGTATCAGCAGAGGCAGCTGGGATCGTGCGGAAAAGAGAGAACTGTCAGGATGCAGGATATGTGTGATATTTGCTAATCCTTACGTGTACTGAGCAAACACCGATTGATCGGTACTGATCACTATGAGGGGAATTAATCAAAACTGGAGCAGTTGCCCATGGCAACCAACTAATCAGCATCTCTCTTCAGTTTGTTTAGTTAAGATTTGAAAATGAAAGAGAGAAGCTGATTGGTTGCCATGCAATGCAAGTTTTTGTCTGCTCCAGTTTTGTCTGCTCCTGTCCATTCATAACTGGGGAGAGTACTATGCCTCCTCATTTTGTGAATGAATAGTAAGCCTTTGTACTGATTGCTCCTGTTCATTCAGTGCTGGGGCTGAAGAAAAAAAAAATGTGTCCCAAATCTTTTTTCTCTTTCAAAATGGAAATATCAGGGGTCTGCTTAGACCCTGATATTTTCCCGACAGTAAAGTTAAAAAAAATATAACTTTTTTTTATTTTTATCAACAACAATAATACAATAAAAAATAATAGGAACAAAAAAATAAAAACACACACATTTTAAATAAAAGATGATATATTTTTTTGTATCCAATTGATTGAAAAATAATTGTTTAACTAATCGATTATGAAAATAATATTTAGTTGCAGCCCTAATGTGAAGCACACGTCCAGTTTTAAAAATGAGAAGCACTGTATCACTTTCTGCAATGCTGGATGAAGTGCATTGTGTACAGAACTGAATGAGTGATCAGAACATCTTATCAGATTTATTAGTGCAATATTTTAGTCAAGCTTTGTCTGCTGTGCCATCTCTTAACCACCTTCCGTCCATGGCCGTTTGTGAACGGCCGGACGGGAGTCTGCTAGGATCGGGAGGGCGTCTTAAGACGTCCTGCCCCTCCCCCCTCTCGTGTGCGGCACTCAGCGCGCACACGAGAGGGAAAACTATTAGCATGTAAACAGCCAGCGATGGCTGTTTACATACAAGCGATCAGGCGTCTCTAGAGACGTCCGATCGCTTGCAGGAGCTGCGGGTGTGCGGCCTCTCCCCCTGTACCTGTGTCCCGCCGTCTCCTCGTCGCCGCTGCCGGTCCGTGATCCGATGTGGCCGGTGCGGCTGGGACCGGCACGGCGACGCTCTAACAGCAGATCAAAGGGAGATCATTACTTGATCATCCCTTTGATCTCTCTTCCTGTCCCCGAATGCAGGAAGTGATGTATATTACATCACTTCCTGCATTCAGTGTCACTCTCCGGTGCAGAACACCGGAGAGAAGCTGATGAAGCAGATCTCTGCTTCATCAGCTTCTCTGGGGGTCCCTAGGTGACATCAGAGGTCTTGGAGACCCCTGATGTCTCCATAAAGAGGACCTGTTTGGTGAACTGGCTATTACATAGGGGATTCCTTAGTCCCCTATGTTATAGCAATAAAGTTAAGTCAAAAAAAAAAAAATGACAGCATTAAAAAAAATAAAGAAGCTAAAAAAAATATTCACAAATAATAATTAAAAAAAATAACACAAAAAATGTTTTAAAGTCCCCGCCCCCCCCCACATACACATGCAAACATGCGTCGGGTGCGCCTATGTACGAAAACGACTGCGCCCATTATGCAGCACATGTTACATATCGTTGCGAACGTCGGAGTGAGAGCAATAATTCTAGGGCCATCAATCACTGATAACACTAAACTGTGTTATCAGTGATTGAGCGGTAAAAACGTTTAAAGTGTCGCCGCAATTTTGGTTGCGGTCGTTTTCTGCGTTTTCGCGGGCAATTTTAAAGGTTGACATGTTTAGTGTCTATTTACCCGACGTGACCCCGTCTTTTATATTTTACCAAAAAATTGGGGTGAAAATAAATGTTTCATAACATTTTATAGGGAAACATGTTTTTTTTTCACAATTTAGTGTACTTTTTTTGTTATATAGTAAAAAATAAAAACCCCAGTGGTGGTTAAATACCACCAAAAGAAAGCTCTATCTGTCCCCAAAAAATGTTATGAAATTCGTATCAGTACAGCATTGCATGACAGGATAAATGTCAGTCAAAGTACCGCAGCGCTGAATACTGAAAAATGTCCTGGCCAGGAAGGGGGTGAAACACCCCGGTCTTCAAGTGGTTAAGCTAGACCATAGTGCCCTGGATATGATGTATTAAATGATTATATATTAATTTATTATATTTAGCTCATTCAGACAAGGATAATTTGGCCTTTACTTTAAAGTCAAGCATATGCAGATATCCTTGAATTAGCTTGCTCTACTACTGGACAGTCTTACATTTGACTTAATTGTATGGCCAAACATAAAATGTCACTGCTGGAGATTGCTCTCACGAACTGCATATTATATTGTGATATCATTCATTTGCATTTTTTGGCCATACACCTGTCAATTTTGAGGAAAATTTAACAATTTTCAATCTACCAAAAAAGATTTAAATACTTGGGAAGTGGAAGGTTGGACTGATCTTACTGGTTGTTTTCTGGGAACAAACACTCCAACTGGTTCAAAAGAGCAGAGCTTTTTCCATCTCCGTAGCTAGCTATTCTAGGAAAAAAGAATGACCACATCGAGATTCAGTCCATATGTGAAGGACTGCAAGAACCTAAGGGACCAGATATACAACAAATGTTTTTTTATTGCAAAACTACACGTGTGCTTTGTAGTCCGTTTACATACAAATGGTGCTTTGTTCTTTTTCTAATTGAACGTTAATTTAATAAAAACCTCAAACTTACGACAGTCGCTTTGAATTCCTTCCCTTCTCTGCCACTTCTTCAATGTCTGCCTTTGTCAAGATAACTATATAGTTATTAAAGTGCTGAATGGCTTTCAGTCCTATAAAGAGCTGCATTCTTAGTGTGCAAACATCCATAGAGACAGGTGGGCAAGTCTGGAAAAGGGGAGAAAAGTACATTAGAAAAATCTTTGTGGAATGCTGCCAAAAAAAAGCAGATGATATTTCAGACCATCTTCCTTAGAAGTACAGGTCTACAAAACAATATATTGCAACATAAAACCTGACAAACATCTCAGATTGTCAGATGGGTCAAACAATACTTATGCCAATAGGTAACAGCTGTCCTGTCCATGCCATATCTGGACCTGGACATATAAAAAAAAAATATTAAAATGGAAGCAACCAATCACAGTCTAGCTTGTGATCTAACCAGTGCTAAAGCGAGCTACCCAAATAAACTAGTAGTATACAAACAGACCGCATTATCCAGAGAATTCCAATACTTCAGACTTTATTAAAATTCACAGCAAATCCAGTGTAACAGCAAATCCAAGCACTGCAAACCCCCAACCATCTACAACCTCTCACATGTTTCACCCGTAGGCTTATTCATAGAGTTTTACCCAAAGACACTACTTCAATTTCAGCTGCGTCAGCAGGAAATTCAAACAACTTGTGTGGCCCTGCTGACACCATGCAGCTCAACAAAAGTCGATTATAAAATCAATTTTTGTTGAAGTAGCCAGGTGGAAATTTGTTGGCTGAACAGTGACTGCATCCAGACAACTGCAGTCACTGTTCAGGTATTCTGGCAGAGGCAGGGGTCGGCTTTCAGAATATAATAGCCCAGCAGGGGAGATTTGTCCATCTCTGTGTTTATGGAGCAATCTGTTAGAATTGTTTTGTTTAGCCTGCAGGAAGAAATCTGTGACCGCACGGCCAGCTTAAAGTGACATTAAGGGCAAAAGTCCCCCCCAGTGCTAATGTAAGGACTTACCTTAAATGATGTCTCTTAATCCGATCATCTTCTTCTTTCCAGGAGTTTTTAGCTGTCCCTCCAGCGTTGGTGCGGGTCTCCGATCCAAAGCCGACTCCTCAGTCCTCCTCTTCTCTCATGTCCCACGGAGTCTGTGCAGGTGCACGCTGCTCCATAGACTTACCTTGTGTCTCTCCCCGTCTCCCGGCCAAACGTCTGAACTGCCCGCCCCAAGATCCTTTGCAGTCGCCCCAGAAATTTTCAGATGTTCGGACGGGAGTGCGCGGTGGAGACACAAGTATTAACCCTTTGAAAAAGTGTTTTGTTTTTTTTTCTCAATTGTTTTGCATGTATCTACTGATTGCCAGCTGTAGATATATGCAAAAACATGCAAGGGTTTATTAACCCTTCAAGGATCCAATTAATCACTTGATTATGGAAAGCACACAAAAGTAAGCAGTAACATGGAACATGTAAAGATAAGACAACTTCCAAGCGGGGAAGAAAACGTATGAGTAGCACACCAGTAGCTGTTGACTGACCAATACCCGGCATAATTATCATGAGAATTATACCTTGTCAATTAAAAAAAACAAAAAACAACCACCCACAAAGTTAACCTAATGAGAATAAAAAGTGATAGAAGAGCAGCGGTCCAAAGGTGTGCGGTACAAGTCAAGCATGCTAAACAAACCCTGCCTTCCTGTTGGCAGAGCTGATGAGATCTACAGCCTACAGAACACAGAGACTACCATAGTGAAAACAATGATACAGCAAGTTACATACCTTCATCGTGGTGTCAATAGGATCTTCCTCCCGAGCGGTTACTGCGCCGCATCTCACAGTGAAACACTGCAAATTATTCCTGTACAAAGATAGAAAATGACTAAAGATCCGTGCTTTGTATTAAAGATCTCAATCACATCTTTTGAAACTTGAAATCTTCTTCAGCGCAAGATTTTGAGACATGAATACACTTGATAAGACAATTTACATTTAGCTGATCTCCTTTTAGTATAATATTAAAAACATTACAAAGACTAAGTACCTTTCTTCTAAGTGATTAGATTTTTTTTTCTATTTCCAGAAGCTGATGGTGGGCACATGTCTAATTATTAATGTAAAAAGTTTGTGCCATCAGTTAAAGAAGAATTTCGGGCAAAACCTTTAATAATCTTTGCAGTAGGGCTGCACTCAAGGGTTAACCACTCATTTTGGTTTGGTGCTATTAAAAAAATATAAGTTATACTCTCCTGATTTGCTGAGCTGGCTCCCTTCATCTCTGGTCTCTGAAGCCTCCCTCGTCCTACACTGCACCATTAGAATGCTCCTCAGTATCCTCACGTCTATACAGAACATGATGATTTACAGGACCTTACAGGACCTTAGACCGGTGAAGATGAGGGGGAGAGAGAAGCTGGAATGACCTGCCTAAGAGGTAGCTGGCTTGGAGCTTCTCGTGAACATAACTTTTTTTTGTAGCCCCACTGCAAGGGTTAATAAAAACGTTCTTTAAAAAGTGAATTAGCCAGAGCAGAGACATATCACAGTGACATCCGACAGCTCGGTCCCAAAACAATAGTAAACGATTAAAAAAAAAAAAAAAACACAGTAAAATAAAATGAATTCCAATAAATGATAGATTCCATTAAATACAAGATATATAGAGTGATACCGTGTAATGACATGCAGCAATTGAGGAGTTAGGACAGCTTGCTGGGACCTCTCCGGGTACTGATAAACAGAGATCAACTGTACAGGGTTTAATAGACTGTACAAGTAGCCAGTATGTGGCATGGAGAAGAAGCAAAATAGGCCGAGCAGGTCTTTCTTGGTGTTGCCAGCATCTGCGATCGCACAACTTCCTGTTTCAAAAACAAACAAGAAATCATGTTAGCAGCTGCTTCTTTTTTTTTTTTGCACCAATACAGAGAATGAATCAAGTGTAATGCTCGATACTTCTGTACTGTTCTTGAAGCTCAGGTCTTCCATTATTACATTTATGGGATTTACCGTATATATTTATGGATTGGGATGGGATTTATTCAGGACTCAGGCTTGCTATCTGTGAAGGAGCAGTGTAGTAGGATATAGTACAATATAATGTATGTAGAATTACGCATTATAGGTAGAAAGATGTTGAAAATATTAGCATACAGTGACACACATGTATCTAACTTTCCTCTACCTCTGTGCATCCAGGCCCTTTGAAAAGGTAGTAAAGTAAACTCTGTCCTGCAGCTTTTGCTCCCTGTCACACATGAGAACTCCCCATAGAAGTTTACAGAGGAATCTTCTAACACACAAATCAAAGTGCGGACAACAACCTACTGCAATAGGTGAAATAGAAAGAGCCAGGGTAAAGAAAAGGGAGGACACAGAGTCAAATCACACACATTCACACCAATGCATTACTTTTTTCTCACTGCGCAGTATTGTGGTACCGTGCATTGGGCTGCAACACACACCAACTGGAAGGTGTGTTGGGGTGTCAGTCAAATAAATTTCAACGCAACAGTTGTGTGCTGCACTGTGTGCTATGTGATAGGAACCTACCATTTAGCGCAGGCTATGTCTTTTTTTTTTTTTTAACAAAGCCCAAAAACCTCCCATTTAACTCCCCCACATAAAACGGTAACCTCTCTTATTTAGTACCTTTCTGTAAGCCAAGGTGAACCCAAAAGCACTGCTAGACCTAAGGCTTGGGGCAACGCAGTGACTTCGTGGTTAGCACTTTCTGGTAGGCAGTGCAAAGGTAGCCCTCTGTTGAGTGACTAATGCAGCTCTGGTACTCATTTCTACCATGGAGCTCAGACACAGTATGGTTTCAGTACACCAAAGATTGCAGTGCGGGCTGGAATAGGACCAATGGTTTTCACAAAATATACTGAGCAGCAACCAGATTACCTATTCTTAACTAAAAATATTTTACATTTTTTTGAAAGCATATGACCGGTTGTTTTAGGCAAAACAGACACAAGCTCTTTATATTAGTAAAATACAATACGGACAACCAACTTGTGTAAATTTACATCCTCCAGACAGTAAGCCGACTACAGAAATAATATGAGGGATTTGGCTGTACCTCTTCTGTACATGGGCATCAGTTGCAAGGAGTGCAATCTTGTACATTCAACACTGAAGCCATCCGCAAAATCTGGGGCAAACCGCCTATGAAAAATAGTAAACATTAAAGTATTTCAATATTTTTCACATTTTTGGAAGTTTGTGTAGTAAAGCATCTGTAGCATCCAACTCCAGCCAGCCCCCCACCCCCTGCAAAAACAAAAAAATGCAATGTAGAGTATTTTTTACTGAGTGTTCATTCTTCTTACAGTTGTGAAGAATGCTTAAAGGGCACACAGCAGCTATTCACACACAAGTTAGAATACCTTCACTCCAACAAACTGTTCCAATAGGGGTGACGTCTCCTACAATCACTGTATTAAACAAATAACATAACAACAGTGGGGCTTCCCTCAAACTGCAAGGGTTATGTGCTTGCTTTTGCCTAGATAAAAAAAAAAAAAAA